GTAGGTGGGGACTGGGAGCAGGGAGGGAGGGGGCCGGCAGGTAGGTGGGGACTGGGAGCAGGGAGGGAGGGGGCCGGCAGGTAGGTGGGGACTGGGAGCAGTCTCCTGGCTGCCGCCACCCCCAGCCTCCCGCATCACAGCCTCCCATCTCCCTTCTCTCCCAGAGCCGATCCAGCCGTCACTCCGCCCCCAAAGGGAAGTGACATCAGCCCCAGGCTGGGCAGGTGTGTCCTGCACCTGGGCAGGGCTGGGATCAGAGCCCAAGGATGCCCGCCCAGCCCAGTGCCTCCAGGGCTCCCCAGGCCTCACAGCCTTAGCTGGGAGCCTCCGGAAGAAGGGCCCCCACCCACCCACCTTGCACAGGGTCAGGCACCGGGGGCCACTACAGGCCAGTGTGAGGGAAGGACCTGAGACCCCGGCCCTGAGTGAGACCCCACCCAGGTAGGGTAAAAGCTCCTTCTCCTGACGCAGCTCTCCCCAGCACAGCGGCAGGGGCAGGACAGGTGACGCGGGTTTGGGTATACCCTGGCCTCTCCCAGACATCCTAGGACGCGCTGCACCCCTGGAGGCTGGGGACCAGGAAGTCCAGAGTCTGCAGGTGCCGCTCACAATGAGCTCCACCCACCCCAAGCTCTGGCCCGACCCGCCGCTACACCAAAAGCCTGGCTTGTCCAGACCCACTGCCCATGCCCTGAAGCCCACCCCAGCCAGGCACGGGCCCAGAATGAGCCTCCTGAGAGCCTGGTGGGCAGAGGCCAGCGGCCCGGCTTCCCACCCCTCTACCTGCCCAGCCTCGCAGGCCACGTCCTGGGTGCTCACCAAGGGCAGCTGGTCATTCGGGGCTCTGTGTGGGCAAAAGCCTAAGGGGCTGCCCTCCCTGGCCGGTCAGGGGGCAAGTGTGGGAAGGGGCAAGGAGGCCCTGTCCCCCAACTCAGTGGGAGGAGTCCCTTGCCTGCCAAGTGTCCTCAGCTTGGCTGGGTGGTCACCTCCTGCCTTAAGCCAGCCTGACCCTGCCTCCGCAGCCTGCACCCCCCCCGGGAGGGCTGGGCTCGGCCTACCTGTGCCTGGACCGCCAGGTAGAAAGCGCCTTTCTTAAAAGGCAGCAGGTCCCCGTTGTCGTTACGAGTACCCTCGGGGTAGATCCACACTTTGAGCTGCAGGGAGAGAAGAGCCTGGGCTGACCTCACGTCCAGGTCACCCCAGAAAGGCGGCGCTCCCTCCCCTCTGAAGAAGCCCCACTCTGTGAAGCAGCTGGCGTGGGACCCGATCTGAGGAGCAAGGATGATGTGGGGGTCTTTTTTCTGCCAAAACCAAGTCACAGGCTGGTCCCCGCCTGACCCCGCCCGGGCCCCACCCCGACCCCACCCAGCCCCGGCCCTGCACACTCACGTTCTCCCTGACCATGCGCTCGCCCAGGTCGGCCATCACCGTCATGGCAGTGCTAGAGCGCTGCCGGTTGATGAAGAAGACGCCCCCGAGATACATGATGAGGCCCACGGGGCCCAGGAAGAGCAGTTCCCGCTTGGCGATCTGCACGCAGCGCTCCGGAAGGACCTCCATGAGGCCTGGGAGACAGAGAGAGAGAGAGACAGGGAGAGGGGGAGACAGTCGCTGAGCACCCACAGACCTGCCTGGGGCCCTGCCTTCTCCCTGGCTACCTGGGCGGGTTGTGTGGCCTCCGAGCCTCTGTGTCCGGCCCTGAGGGAGGGACTGAGGCCAGGCTCGCCCAGGCACAGGCAGTGTCTTGTCCTCTGTGTCTTCGTCCTCGGGACCCCGCCCCAGCCCCGCACAGCGCCAGCTCAGCGGGCCCCACTCAGAACCCGGAAGCCGCCCCGGA